CAGAAGCGAACTGCGCCGCTAACGCGGACGCACGCTCAGTGCTGGAGGTTAGGTGCTGTCTATCCGGGAAATCCAACACTGGCACATCCCCTGCCGGCTTCTAGCGTCGCGTCGCGCATGCCAAGATTCTTTTTGAGGCGGTCTTCGCGGCTAATGAGAGCTGCTGTTCGAAATGTCGGCGTTTATTCATTTTGCACGGTTACAGAGGTTCCGCTGACATTTATACCCTTCGTAATCGTTGGCAGAGCCAGAGAGGAGGAATTTGTCAAACAGTCTGCGCAGCCTCAGAGTCGGGTTTCCATACTCCTTGTCAAACCAATGAGGCTTAATCGTTCCAACTTATCGACATTTCAATGGCACAAATTGGGAACACAATGATGTCAATCTCTCTTTTATAAATATCCAAAAATATTCCACAGATGCAGTTTGTTACAGAGACCGATCCAGTTTGCTCGCGGCTCGAGCCAGACCATCGAAGTCCGGTTACCAGTAGTTGGGAGCTGATCGCAGCGGATGTGAATACGGCAAAGATAATTCCATACCAGCTATCAGTACTGATTGGTGGCTCGTAGCCAGGAGCTCTAGGATCCTAACGTCACGCACTCGTTGTTCGTAGCTTGTTAACATCAGGTCTAGACAGGACCGGGTTGAACGTGTTGATATGCGTGTTGGCTGGCATATGTGTTGCGATGCACCAGTTGCAAGTAGCAAATCCACGAACTTGCTTCAACCTCACTATATCCAGCCATCAAATGCACATCAGGCCATCGTATTCGAGGACAGTTAAGATCTCCCATAAGTTGAAAGTGTGGACGACTCATGTGGGTCCGAAGAATGTGTAACCAATCCAAACAGCGACTCAGGGGCTGCGATAAACTGCTCCCACAAGGAGTTTTCCCCGCGCCTGAGGCGGATGGAGCACCACAGTAGCTCACACAAACCATCGTAACTTCGGTAGGTGCTCACAAGTCTCTCACGCAGGGAAGACCGGATGTAAAGTAAGACATCAACGTGGGCATTCTTTAGTCGATCGCCTCGGAAACACGAGTAACCGTTGAGTTCAAGTTGTTGGGTGTATAACTCTGCATGGAGCCATGTTTCTGCGAGTCCCACTAAGTCTGGCCGCTCAGACGCAACGAAACAACAAAGCTCATCGCGCTTATTCTTAATGTTGCTAACATTTGTGATGGCTACTCGCAGGTCGCAGCAGGAGCCGCAGGGCGTGCTTGAATTGTTAGCAGCCTGTTTATCCTGATTCGCGGGTGGTTGGAAACCACCTGAAAATTTACGATACGAAGGTTTGTTTCCCCGTCACCAGTGCGTCTTTGCAGCTCAATGATGGCAGACTTGAGCTGCTTCCTCTCTACTGGGTCCAGTTCTGGACGAACATAGATCTTCAAACCTTTCAGCCTACTTAGGCGGGACATGATCAGTCTTGGAGTGGCTTTGTCCACAAAAGTGATTCTCATAGACCGATTTTGTTGATCACCTTGCTTTCCAAGACGGGTAACCTGACTCACTTTTACCAAGTCCTCACCAGCGTCGAGCAGTCTATCAATTGGATCCTGTAAAACTCGACATCGTGATCGTAGCGCACTTGGGGTGATGGATTACTGGACTCCGGTGCGTGAAAGATCACGAGATTATAACGCCTCTGGTAGGACGAGATTGGCCTTGCAGGGCGAAGTATACTACCAGCCTCACGTGGTTTGGCTAACTGTTGAGTTACAGAACGTAAACGCCCAACGTCCCTTGGTAATTTCGTTCTCTGTTCGTTGCACTGGCCTTCAGCACTCGGCTGTTGGTTGTCTACATTATTGGATAGACTGCCCAGGGGTCATTTGGGCGTTGATTTCAGCTTGCCACTTTGCTATAGAGCCCTTGATAATCAGATCCTTATAATGCTTAGGATCAACGGCATCACTAGTAAACTTTGGATTCAACTCCGTTGACACACAAGCATCACGATTGGAAGCGTAATACTTGGTAGGAGTTTCTTTAGATGACATTGCAGCATCGTCAGGAACGGTGGTGCTCTAAGTTCTTATCTTACGATGAGCTGTCGAGGTCCACTTCAAAGTGCCCAGTGACCACATAAGATACGTTAGCTTTCTGAGCTGCGTCTGAAAACACTTAACACAAATAATTGTTGTAACCGGTGACATGGATGAAAGATCATTAAAGGACCTATGTAAAGCCGTGCGAGCTGATTTAATCAATAGGATTTGAACTCGGTCTGCTGGGCTACGGTGAGCTGTTTTTCCAACAATCTATCCTCTGATTCCTTAGTTGGAAATTTAAAAACGATAGGGGCTACAGTCCTTTGGTTTCTTTTTCAGACGAAGGCATTTGTATTTAATTTAAGACATGCTGCAAGCCCGCAATGCTGCATTGATAATTTACCCCTAAGTAAATTTACCAGGAATGTTAAAAGCGATCACATTTACCAGTCTATGCATTTGCTTATGTACCTTTTACGCAATTGAGGCGACTAACTGTCCGACCTCTCTCAATCGGATGGGATCAGATCTTTCCCATTGGTTATTCAGATAATCACATGAAGCTAAGTGATCTTTTAGGGGCTTGATGATTGACACATTTTGTCTCATTGCAAAGAGTTGGGTTTCCTGGAAGTTAAGCCTATCATCGAGTTCTGAAGAAGAACAGCAACTGCATCATGGGTGACTCGTAGTTACTTTAGGGCCACAATTTTCCTTTGCTTCGCTCGGACGGTGTAGGGACCAATACATTTTGCTTGTCGAAGGAGGCTAGGGCTTTTGGGTGCCAGAATACTGTACTGATGCGAAGGCTAGATTAAGTAAGTAGAAGAGGCTGATGTAAAAACGACTTCGTCAATGTCCTAAGTGCTTGAACTACGGGAAATTTAGCAATGCGATAATAAGCTAATGCTATACAAACTAACCGGTTTTTAGTTTTGCATTAACAGTTCGCTATTAATTGGATCCGGCTGATGTTACTTTATTTATATCCGGGCCGTTTTGCCCGTGGAGGCTGGTCGCTGGTGCCAATTCGAACTGAGGTCATTTGACTGTGTCCACAAGTGCAGAGACGGTGGGAGGCGCAGTGCATGGATCACTGATCAGACACGCGTTAAGCGGGAACGGAAGGCGTATTGATAGTGTTAGCGCTTGCAAGCTGTGAAAGGGTGTTTGGAGAGCGGTAGAGACGGAAGCGAGGCAGCGCGCAGCTGGACTGGAAGTGCTTAACTATGGCCTTATGTTTAGAAGCTGTTTGATCCAGTTGTGCCTTGTAATGCAACCAAATGGATTGAATATGAGAAATTTGGAAAGCTCTTAAATTTATCTTCCTCTTGATATCCAAATGGTGCCTGTTAGTCTTAAACGCAAAAGTGTTTTCCTCGGGTATCTGAACAGGGAAAGTGCCGATTGTCGATGGATGACGATATGTAAGGAGTAAATCCTAACGATTAACGATACTAGAAGTAGTCGCCAAGTCCGACCAAATGAATATACACATTTACTCGTGCAATGAAAACTGGTAACACAGAACACTAATGAGCAAGAGCCTTGGAAGGAGCCAACCAAGCGCACTTGTGACCTTGCAACCTTACATCAACAGGCGTAGAAAGCTGCCCAAGATTCTATGTAAATTTCACCAGTATGATGCGATGTTCCACGGCGCTCACAAACGCATATGGGAAACTTAGACTAATCATGTTTAGCTGATTCTGTCTTGTCTGTTCTCTAGCACCGGAAAATATATTTGACAAAACATTTTGCGTATAAGTGTATACATATGGTTCTATGATATGCGATTTAGGTACACGCCGTACGTCAAACTAAAAATAGGCCTCACCTTACTGGATAGAATTGAAAGTTACCAGTTTAACAGTTTTCAAATGCATTACCACATTCTTGAAATCATTACTAATTTTGACAGATCGGGTTATTGGCTAGCCAATTAGTATGTCAATTATAAACGTCAGAACACAATAGTTCCCCCAGTTTTCGTGTACTGCTTTTATGGAAAAGAATTTGATCGTTTTGGATTAACGCATGGTCATTATCGACAGCTGTTCCAAGAAATTTCTAAGAATACTGCGGAATGTTCTTGTATTCGTGCAATGCATATTGGGGATGCGTATCTGACGAGGGAGAAGTTATTTCATATAGCTGTACTGGCACATCTAGCTGTTTGGTTACAAATCTGGTTGAGAATCATGCTAAGAAATTTATGCTGCAATCCTAGTGTGCACAGAGTGGAATAGTTTGCATTTATGTGTTTGTGCATTAGCACTAAGTTTTGTTTCGGTCTTTGGGACCATTTAGCTTTGGAGTGAAATTTCTAGCAACACTCCTGAATGCCGAATTTGAATGCCTCATTAAAGACACGTTTAGTGAATCAGCTTTGCAGATTTACAAGTACTTTTCTATCACCTTTAGGTATGTTTATATAAAAGGTGCCGTAGACCTCAGTGATGGGTAGGTTAAGTTTTCAAATTTTACCACTGTGCTCTATTTGCGGTTCTAGGAATTGCTGCTCATGTTATGAACCAAAACTGATTTTTATGATTAGCTTATGTACTTGTAATTGGCTTAGCAATCAGGAGAGTGTAACTGATTTAATAGATCTTTCATTTATAATCAAGTTTATGCGGGGACAGTAAACTAATACTAGTAGACTAAAAACCAATTTCTGATAACCTATACAACATATATACATCAGTACTTGAATAAATCAGACGTTCTAGAAAAGGTGCCAGGTTATTGGCAACAATCTAACCGGATATTATGAAATAAATCACTACTAGGTGGATCGTGTGCCACAGTAGATTAAGCGCCATCGTAGCACGCTGGAATCGTGTGACTACTAAACGGAGAATGCTATTATCTGTTTGGTCATCCTAAATAGATTACAAAACGCAAAAGACTTAATTGATGTAGATTTTAGCGAGGAAATTAAACATAGAATGAAATTCAATTGCCATATTTGTCTGGTTACTGGGTGCTCTATTGCAGATCACCAATTTAGCACAGGAAGATAAACTCATGCGCAAGTTTCCGATGCAATGCGTTTTGCTTCGTCCAAATCATGATCAGTCTTCGGCATGCTTCCGTGCACAATTCCAAAGTGAAAACGCTTTGGATCAAGAGAAAGTCATTGAGGAGTTCGAACGAACAAATGCTAACGAAGGAGCTACTTACGATATAATTGCGTCGCAGTACCGCTTCGGTAAGTAGCGTATATATTGCTATGCTGCAAGAGACTTAAAACACGCAATAAATTGCATTGTTGTCATTAATAAACGTTGGCAACTTTAGCGGAAAGCCTTTAATTCGTTTTTACAGAACGACACACCATGCTGAAGGAAGCAAGTGAGTTACCTTTCCAAAGATGCATAAAAATTACACTACTCGTTTACTTAAAATTAATTCATTGGTTAACGGCTCGTAACTCGATGGTACGGCCGATCAAAATGAAGTACATTATACCCGTGAATGTTGATTTTTCATAACAAATAACTCATTCGCAAAAGTTTATAACATGGCAAATAAGAAATTAACTTGGTGTTTTATATCCTGCATCTAGCCAGAGGTTAAAACGTCCTCTGTTACTTAGAGAGTGACTTCGTTTTCCGAAAACGTAATGAAATAAGGTGCTATTCTGTACTGTCGTGTCCATATTAATGCATCTATGCTATTGGTTTTTCTCATAACGCACAACCGTTAGCACTCATTGTACTAGGCGTTTCTGGTAGGTGGAGCCTGGGATACTAGTCGGTAATCAGTGACACGTAAGAGCCATGACAAAAAAAGACATTATAGGAGTTGGACGCGACTGAACCCAACGTATATGGTACGGGCGACAAAAAAGGAAGCGAATCAACCAGAGCGAGAAACGGCGCAGCAAGGTACTCACAAAATCCATTTGTGTCAACGGATGTGTAGTCAGTAAAACAACTGGACGTTTTGCAAGTTAAAACAACCGTAAAATCCAATGCTGCTAAATACAGAAATAGAGTGTTTTCCTGTGCACTAGATGTTTCCACTTCTTATTGGATGCGCCGACCATACTTTCGTGTGCATGTCGCTATACACTGAAAATATTGTTCATTGTTCATGGTGTCCATACAGTCGTCCGGTTACTACTTCGGTTCTCTGCATCCTGGGACATAACACGCGTCATCACTGCTATTTATGTATAAGAAGTTATCTAAATTGAAACACTAGAAGGGTTATGTGGTTTAGCACGCGTACACAACGAAGTGCTTAAAGCAGTTCAATACTATGAAAAATGCTTGATCTGAATTTGCAATATGCTTACTAATATCTGACAGATTCAGGTCGTAGAGTAGGTAGATATGCTCTAGACGCAGGATACTGGGATACCACTGAAGACATTTCATAACATACTCATCATCTTTATTTAATTCGTTCATTTGTTACTTGCTGAAAATTTAAAATTCAAAGCAATCCTTTCTTAAAACTAATTTGCTTTACCAAAGTTGGCATCACATCAGATGCATAGTAAAATGGGTAGCAATTCATGTTGATTTTTTAAGACGTCGTCTTACCTATTTAAGAAATGCGTATAAACAGATTATTCCAAGGAAGAACCATTCAGTCTGACCAAAAACACCGCCATTTACTCGACAGAATAAATCGAGTTTATGCAAAGTAGTTACGCAACATTTGAACAGATTTGAGGCATATTCACTCTTTTTCAGCACCTTCGTTAGACAAGGAAAATTCACAGAATATCGACCGGCAAGACGCAGATAATTCTGGTATGTTGAATCAGTTATTTACGCTGCTTCTAACCGAGATGCAAGAAATTTGTTGTAAAGGGATCGTATTAATCCGACTGAAGAATCTACCGCGTTTCACCAACTCCTGGTAGCTGTCCTCAGCCGGCGAGCATGATGGCGCAGAGCGTTTGTGACTGTATTGATAATCAACCTAGACTTCCGTAAATAGTCTAATTTCGTGTCCAATAGAGAACGCATAATTCATTGCAGGCGAATGTACGTCCATACTAAATGAATGCTAGTAGACAATAAGAAAAGAAAGAAGCACGCGGCTAATAGTTTTGTACTCTTTTGTATACTGAAATAAGAACCGTGAGAGAAGCATTAGTTACCGCTTTCGTAATTTCTCACCCATGTACACAAAATAGTTTCAGAATCCCCACCCGATGAGGAAGGTGAAACAAGTGAGCTAGAAAGACATTCTTTTTTAACTTCCATACTGACAGTTGCGTGTGAATGAGACAGTGTCTAAAACATATTTCACAAATATATTTGCGATCGTAATAACTGTACTGCAACAAAAGTCTTTCCACAGACTCCGTATCAATAATGTATTTCTTTCTGTCAATAATAATACGTGAAGCTTATCCATGGTTCTTACGTGCCGCGTTTATGCACAAGGGGTCTTGAAAGTCCCATATGATCTATTACAAAGCTAAGACGCATATGTCTCCCTGACCTCAGTCAATTTATCCAAATTTTTCAACATATTGCTTCAGGCCTATTACGCTCTTCATCCCTGAAGCTGCAAATTCGATCGCTGACCGCCTTTGTCATCGAAACACTTGTAGATTTGACCAAGCATTCGATATCGGAACAGGAGTTTTGGTCGCCGATCACACATGTTTTACAGAAATGTTCATCCTGTATTGCATCTCTACATACCTCCGCTGGTGTACCATTACCCGATCAGTTTGCAGCTGACTCTCACAGCTCAATGCAAACGGACTAATATTGGATATTTTAAACAACATCCTAATTCAACCGTCAAGCCTGCCAACTCCGTTTTCCGATGCTTTAGTCTTTTAATATTCTGGCTAAAATGCTATACACAAATAATATAGATGTTGAGAGAACAGCAATTTGTTCCAGAAATAATGTCATCTCAGTATTTAGGATTTAATTACGTTTGTCGGTGATCTCTCTATTTTACTTGCAATTACGGGCACGAACGTAACGAAAAGATAGACCTCGTAGCTATCAAATTTATAATAACTCAATGTTTAAACAATGAACATTTTGAGAACCTTATTGTTCTATAACTTTCCGAACTCCTCTAACTATATTTTAGGATGTCTTTTTAAGAAAGCTATACAAACAACCTTACTCGAAATATTATGTCAACGGTGTCATGTTTGCAATTATGCTCGATTAAATTGTAGGTATTTCATCTGATGTTTTCAGAATTGCGCCTAATGTCAACCCTAAAATTAAACATTTCTGTGAACACAACCACGTTAAACTTTTTACGAACCTAATAAGTTTCCGGTTTGACTTCTAGTCCAGTTACCAAAGAAAGAACATGGAACTTCGACCAGCAATCAGGAAGATAAGGTATTGTTACCTACGGACAATTCAGTGTGAGATTTTTCCTTTCACTTCGCTTTAAGTTGCGCAGTGGTATACTGTCTACACTTCAACTTTCTTGCATTCTATTGACCTGGAGAACAAAATTTCCAATCCCGTAGAAACTCGTAGGGAAACAACACCTATTTGTTGAATAATGGGGCTTTTCATACTAGCCTCCATGTATATATAGAAGCACTTGAAAATAGCAGCGTTCGGAAATGACTGGACGTGTCCTTAAACCATTAAAATAATAATGCATACTAATTTCAAAAAGGCAAATCTATGCTCTGCTCAAATGCACCGTGTGGATGAGTTCATGCTAATTCCAGAAATAAAATAATCATGCGGCTCTCAGCCTTAGTTAGTTATTTTTGACCGTCATGAATGAGGTTGACTTATATCCTTCGCCTACTAGTTCATGAGTTATAGCGTTTGACAGGAGTACTTGTCAGCAATCCAAGGTGAATGTGCTCGAATTACTCGATTCAGCTGTGCCGAACCGAATAACTCGAGACAAAAAGTCAAAGATCTTACTCCTTGTCTCACTCCTATACTAATACAAATGATAAAATGAGGAAAGATCAAACTATAAAATTTTGCTGAGCAAGTATTTTGTTATTTCGATTTACAGCGATTTCCTTCCGTACTGTGTATGTCGATGGTTTATTGGAAGCCCGAAACATGGACGTCTTAGTTGGTGGGGATTTATGGCAAGTGAAATTGTCGAACACTGCTATGCTTACAGAGTGCCTTGACTTTGCTTATATCATATCCCCTAAATCGCTAGTGGACTTATCGCATTGGAAGAGTACTGGTTTCTTGTTAGAATCTTTTCTAGTGTCCGTATTGTAGGATTGAATTCTGCGAATATATGCCCTCCATAATTCGGCAATGTGTAAAATGCTAGCTGTAAATTGCGGACTAGTTCTTGACACATATGTAATGGCATACCCAGATGGTCATTTTCCCACATCAAATATTTCGCGAAGCGGAATAACTGTTTTCTCCAAAAATGCTTCTCTAATAGCTAGCATACTTTTCATGGTACTTTTAATCCAGTAAAGACAGTACCTGGTGTCTATCCGCTTAGAAACAAACGACGTAAAACACGTACGAACTAGTCATCGCAGCGATTGCTTTTTACCTGGCAGTATTTCTTAGAAGGTGCACCAAACGGCTGTTAACATCGGGAAATTTTGCACGTTGTAATGCGCAGTACGTGGAACCCAGATTGTAAGAATGATTACAGTAACCAGCTCTACGCATTGCCTTGCGCACCGTTGGTTTACCATGAATCGCTTTTATAGTTAGCGAAATTTAATTTAATTTGGCGAATATAAGATATTCGTATCGTTAATTTTATTGTTGATTCATCCGCTCTTTCCGCAGTATGTATCAATGCAAATGGTACTTAACATGCAACAGAAAGGAGCACAATTGGCACAAAGTTATAAAGTCTTTTACTTTTCTGCAATGTTCATTACAAATAAACTGCTTACGCCGCTTGCATTTTTGCTTGCTTCGTTCCGAGAAATCCATCGATTTCCACCACGTAAGCTGATATGGGTAACATGGTCCCTGCAGGAATGCGTAACAACAGAATATCGTGTATACAAAAAATCCAAGGATTTTGAAACCGGATGGCTAGTTCGTAGGTGCATTTGGCAGTTAAGAATGGAGTTAACTGGCGATTCCGTATAATCAGCTATCTTTCATTTATTTGAAAATAGGGTGCTGGTTTATCCGCAATGCAAGTATCCACAATATAGCTTATTTAGTGGTTCAATACGACCGTAATAATACACACCAGACCAAAGGTGGGACACTCTGGATCTCCAAGGAATTTTAACATATAAAGTAGCCAAATAGGCAGAAGCATTAATGCAAAAGTATCTGATGACTGGATTTTGCTGAAGTTGGATTAAAAGGGCTTTGTGAATTGCCATATGTTTAGCGGCATGAATGGAGGATTTGCGTTTCTTGGAGACAAAATTTCAAAAGAGTACACAAGTGTCCATAGTAAGAGCTGCCGTATGATAGCTAAAAGTTCTGATTTTGAAAGAGACAGTGTAGGTTGGCCCACGTTGACTGAATGAATATGAGGTCAGGGTGCAATGGAAATTGGAACATGGAAAGTGCGTATAATGACCGCCAGAAGGCATTTATCTAACAGGTTCGGTAGGCTGGTCAGGAAGAGAGGCGTTGATTAATATATATCTCGACGGAGTGAGATACCGTTCATTAAGGACTCTGATCAAGTTGTACAGAAGCAATGCACAAAATAGACAATTCAAAGTTGAACTTGGTTGGATTACGACACGCAACCTCTATTAAGCCCTGGGTTTACTTTGACGAAGATCAAGGCCATTCCGATAGCAAAGTGCGTATCCAAAGTAAAAATAATTCGATGTTGCTACTCTGATAATAGAAAATATTTCAATTTGTTTAAGTTAACTTCTTAATGCTTCTTCAAAACGGTTTACCCGTTGGTATCAAATAGCATAATATATCTGGAAGTAAGTATAAATGTATATACAGTCGAACGCCTATTTGAACTGGTAGAGCCAGCAGTGGAACCGGCTTCTGGGGGTTGTCCCACGAAAGTGTTTCTCCTGCAATTCAAGTACTCGATTTCCGGTTTGGCTTATTCTACATTGCATTTGCTTACCTTTAACCTCTTTTTTATGTGCATATAGAAATAACCTGCAAGCAATTCATTGCGTGTTACCTTTTTAATCGTTTCGAAGTAGGCACATTGATTACTCATCAATGAGTCCGTGATAATTCGCCTTGCGTGGGCGCACTGATGATCTTGGAAGCAGTAATCAGGCCATTCGTGACCAAAACTAAGAACAAAAAAATACAGCAAAGAATGCAATGAGCATCAAAGCTAAATGGTGTAATTCTCTTTAGTAGGAGTTACAGTCCGGCGGATCATCCGGTTCCTTATATGGACGAGGAAGGAGGAAAGCAAAAAACTTTGGAGTCATTATGAACAGTGCAGCACCCAGAAGATTGTGATGATATTTTCATCGGTAGAATTTAATCAGTACTCACAAGAGTTGGCTTTCAAACTAACTTCGTGGAGAACTGAGAACTACTAGCTGTTCGCGAAATGTGTGAAATTTATGTCGAAGCATTCACTATCCAAGGCACGTCCCTTAAAATGTACTCTTTTCAATTAATTTTTCTCGGTTATTACATAACGACTTTAACACATAATAGATGATGGTAGGTAAGATCTATATTTTCGTCGCTTACCACTTACTTGTAATTGCATTTTTGAGCGACTTACCTACAAGTCAGTTAATATTAAGTTTGGGAGAGCCACAAGAAGAAATATCTTGTTTAATCTTGAAGGACGGAACATCAACTGCTGGAGAAGTTCTTTCTCAATTTATTTCAATCCGTTGACCAGTGAATTCGATTATAAAGTAGAATGAGCACACCAGTGTTTTGTCATCGACGAACCAAGTGATCGAAATTGCGCTTTTATGAAAAAGGTTTACGTTGTGCTACATACAAAGGAGCACACAACGACTGAATATCCTGCTACTGGTTACCTCATGCCATAAAGCGGTGCTTCTGCGCAGCCGTGTTTGTAATTCTACATCAGATCAAGAAACCATTCCATGAATCCAACTTGAATAGGCCTAATTCGCAGATTACCGACTTATGTGTTTACTAATTTATCTTTACTTACTATAGCACGTACCACGAGCAAATCGAGAGAAGCTTATTATCTAGGATAATGGAGCACATTCCACGGATCTCTACTTCGAGTGGTCCTAAGCTTCCTGCCAGCTCAACGACCAAGCATCTGCTTGATACACCTTATTGGAAAACTCGCGTAACGCATTCACGGTTATCAACTGGCAAAATACACTGTGCTTGCTTTGTTTTGCCGAAGCTTCCGCCATCCATCGACTGAAGCAAAACTCATGGGAACAACCCGAATTTGTGGTCAGCCTCGCCTTGCCATCAAACGGCGTGTTGCGCATCATTACAAGCGAATGCCTTGAATTTCACGGCGTCCAAATGAATTCCCGTATTAACCCATTTGCAGTTACATTCCTTTATCCTTTCCCCTGTTTAAGTGTAGGCGGCTGATTAATATGACACTGAGGAATCTTAATTCAGGTTATCGCGCTCAAATGTTGTTCACCAATGCTATATTAAAAGGATGCTAATCAGCTGACAACAAATCATGATACCACGTTCTAACTTACCAAGTAACCATTGTCTCACACGTTACTTCGCCCCTCAATCTGTTGATTGATTGACGACTTCAGGTTTGCATGCTACCGTGCTTCAGACGCAAAGTGTATTTGATTGCTCAATCACAATGGATCATTGGTTGTCAGGAGACCCAGTCATGTCGGTGCCTGTTCACCCCCAGCGCTGTATACTGCGTAGTCAAATGAACAGTGCACTTTAATCACCCGAGGATAGTGAATATTCAGCTACAACACACGCCATGGGCACAAACAAAATAAAAACGTGACGAATCCATATGGTGCGTTATCAATTTGAAGAGGTGGCAGCGGTGATATCGTCGATTCAGTCTGGCAATTAGGTATTGTTTGACTACACCTTGATCCCACAGAAAATGTGAATATTGGGAACAACTGACTTACCGTAAACTCGTGTACATGCATAAATGGCTTTGTACGTTTATCTGGTCGAATACGTCGAGGAACCTTTGGATAATGCACAATGGAGAGGGTGCCTAGCGTAAGTGAGTATTTTCGACGCCCCCTTTTAGCAAGAGATAACATGATTAGACACAATAATGTCAATAAAAACATGCATGGAAATGCCGCTGCATCGAGAAAAATGATTCAGTGGCCTGTTGATCAGTTCGCATTTCCCGTTTAAGAGTCCAGGAAATATCGCTGGTGAGAAACACCTCTAGTGCGGTATTACGCAAGCGGCGGCAAAACGTCAAATCAAATAACGAGGCACGGATGAACACCTAAGTCGGGAGACGTAGGTTAGTCTCCTGACTTTAGTAAATGCTTCATTCACTTGATGTGACCAGGTGAGATCCCGACTTAGGGTAATTCCGAGATATTTCACTAATCTACAGGTGTTTAGACTGAAACTGTCAAGGTTAAGATGCAGGAAGTACATCAGGAGCTGTTGATAACAATGTACTCTGGACAGCGAAAAACAACATCTTTACAATTTGGTTTGTTGTGTGAAAGGCAGCGGAATTTGGACCAGGAGGTGCGGTTGTCCAAGAAGGATTAATTTTGGCCAATGTATTGGTGATATGATTGTGCACGCCAAGTATCACCTCAACGACATATTTTAACAGAATGACCTCTTTTGGAGCAGGAATGTATTTAATGTAGTTAGAAATTAAGAATTTCAAAATAGCTCCCTGAAGCAAATCTGAATCTGTGGTGAGTTAGGAAAATCATATTCCCCCAATCTTTGTAATCCGGGCACAATTGTCAAATAGTCTGCAAGAAAAGCTCTGCATGTGGTTGAACTCCAAAAACTAGCAGTTAGTGTAACAGCACCTCGTGTTTCACATAACCGAAACCATTGCTATAAACTAGGAAGCAGATCCGCGTAAGTTTGTTTTTACCATCGCATAGTGAAAACACGGAGTGTACAAGACAGCTTAAAGCATTGAAAATAGACGTTGAACTGCGATAGGCGAACTGAAAAAATCACTTATGTGGGTTTAGACAAGCATTCTTTCGAGTGTTATTCGTTCACATATTTTAAAGCCACATAGATACAATCAATGGGCCGGTATTTACAGGTTCCTTTATTTGGTACAGATGTAATGCGGGCGCTTCGTTAGCAATCGGCTATTTTTGTTATGTAGGCATACGGTGTACAATTCAGAAAAAGAATGTTCTAAGATATTAACAAATTCCTTGAGGACTAAAGGTGGTAGGGCTTCCGGACCAGGTGCTTTACACGACTCTATCCGTGATAATTTCGTGTGAACTGTTACATTATCCATGGGTGGTGAAACCTATTATAAGATTTGCAACGGTTAAGATGGTAAGTGTAATGCTGAACCATCCATATGACCACAAAAGTTGTGGTTTCATTCCTCCACATAAAGAGCAGTGTGTGTGTGTGTGACACTTCTGACGACTCCAATGAGGGTTTTCATCATTTTCCATGCCTCTCTCAAGTTATTCTTTTCAAATATAGTTTGGTCATAAATACGCTTGAGGCGCACATTTCATCTTTTATATGGGTTGGTAAGGACTTATGTGAAGTGGCCTCTTTTGAGTCTGTGTAGTCTTTGAAGGAAGTAAGATGAAAACCTGTCGGCGCGAATGAAAATGGTTTTCAAAGGACAACAACTATTGAAGTAAAAGGGCAATCACTGGTTAAATAATTACTGTAATTCGATACATCACTTGTGAAATATATTGAAGACTTTGGAGGCAGCCGTTTCGCGTAGTAGCTCAGTGTTTAGTGGCTGGCATTGTTTTTGAGTTAAATTTACGATTTTTGTAGCGAATAACAATTTGTTAATTCGTTTTGTCATGGCTTATGGCGAATAACTATGGTGGTACGACCTAGACTTCTAAGCGGTGCCTTGGTACAAGGGAACATGTTTTCAATTCATTGACTAGCACCAAGAATAAGTTTGCTTGTAAGCTTGATACAGACTGCACGATGTTCTACAGTCTGAGGTTGGTAATAAATCTATTGTCGAAGCTATT